ATATGCATCATCACCAAGCGCTCAATTGGTGACGTCTGAGTCTTAAGGTTGGTCAAAAATGGGGTGTCTACAATGGGAAGGACACATTCAGGTGTATGAATCACAAATTAAAAGTTTCAACAGATGCAGTAAAGGCAACAAGTAATGAAGAATATCAACAGAATTGAAAACGAAAGGAACAGTAGCTTACCAGAAGACAGTGAAGCCGGTATGAAGATTGCCAAAGTCCGACGATGGTTGCAGGAGTAACAGAGTAGCGAAAGCTTCGCCAGAAAGACGAATGAAGACAACTGCAGAGCTTGGAGCTTGAGCAATGGCGGATTCGAAAGAAAGAGTTTAGAGAAAGAAAAAGTAAGGGAAATCAGATGCAAAAATGGAAAAATGAAGAAAGGGGGAAAGGTTTTTGTCAAAAATGAAAACGGCGACAAAAAATAATCAATACGCCTAGAAAAACGTATACGTCAGACGGCGCACGGAAGAAAGAGACGGCTTACGGGTGCGTCTCAGGTACGAACCAGTAAAAAAGAAACGCGTGGTTAAAAACGGTTGAATTATGGTGTATGACAACTCATACGCATGGAAGGATTCTTGAAGTTCTTGTTCTTCAACAAAAGGATATCGGCCAAAATAATGATCTCGGCTGAGATACTAAAAACCGACGTACTGGAAAAACGGAATAGGTTCCATCACCTCAGAATACCGAGGTAATAGAACCTAGGGGGCAGTTGTGAAGATATATTTTCTGAATACCAACACGTGGCAGGATGACGCCGACGTGTCAGCCGAGGTGCCATGTGTCCTGGTCGTGACGCCGAGGTGATCTCGGCAAGGCCGAGGTTATCTCCGAAGATATCGGAATCCTAGATAAGAGGATAAAAGATAAGGGACAAGAGTCCTAGAATAAAGAGGAGATTTAGTCAAGATAAGGATAAAACTCTTAGAGAGTTTATCTTTATCTCTTGAGGAGTCAAAAGTAAGTACTGAATTGGAGTCCATAGAAGTGAGGCTTCTAGTAGGACTAGAATTAAGTAAACTATAAAAGAGAGGCACCCATGTGAGTCTAAGGTACGCAATTTATGCTTTAAGCAGTAAGTTTAGCACTTGATTATCTTTGAGAGATATGCTGACTTGATCGTCGGAGTGCCCCCGAGCGGAAGAGCCACCGCCGGAGCCTTTTCTTTCTGTTACAGGTTAACTGAAGCCACCTATTCTGCCAGTACTCTCTAACTGATGACTAAACGGGCAGTGTGGTCAGAAAATTATTCACACATACAGAAATTGAACAATGTAGCCAAGTTGCATGGCCCTTTTCTGCTGTATTATTCGTGACCTAATGCTATACAAATTATGAATGTGTATATATATAATTTTTAATATTTTATAAATGTGACATGTAATAATAAAATTTTGATATTTAAAATAAAATTCATTAAAATAATATGGTAAAGACAAATCAACCATCACAGTTATGAACTTTTTCGGGCTAGCGGAAGTTGGGCTAGTGATGGGACTACTTAAGTAAGACCCACCCTCAGGCCCAGTTCTACCCCACGGGCTTACTATGGCCCAACTCATGACCCCATTCTGATTACAACTGCCTCATGGAGCTGCTGTCATAAAAAGCAAGTTATTTCACTACTAGAAAACAGGACTTTTGAGTCGGCAGCGTGCCGTCGCAAATAGCGTATTTGCCGACGCAAAAACTTTTTGCGACGGCGTTTCGACGGCAACTCAAGGGACGAAAATGGTGGGGTCGCAAAAAGTTTTTGAGTCGGCAATCTGCCGACGCAAAAAGTTTTAATTTTTTGAGACGGTAGATTGCCGACTCAAAAAGTGGTTAAATGTTTTAAAAAATTTAACTCATAATTTTCTCATTGAGGCTCCCAAGTTTCGAACACACACCATTTGGACAATTTGACCCGAGGTCACCTCACTAAATCCACTTCACTACCATACCTCTTTCAAATGTTAAATGAGATATATATTATTTATAGTATATACACTCAATATTAATATAAAAATATATGTATAAATAAATATATTTATTAAATATAATCAAGTATATATATATATATATATCTTGGCTATAAATTTTTTTTTTTGCTACGGCATCAGTTGCCGACACAAAAAGGTCTAATTTTTTGCGTCGGCACAAATTTGCCGACGCAAAAGATCTATGCCGACTCAAAAGGTCTATCTTTTGCGTCAGTAAATTCAACCGACTCAAATAATGCTATCAAATATTAATTTTTTGTGTCGGCCAACGGTGCCAACGCTAAAGGTTTGGTATTTGAGTCGGTAACTCTGTGCCGTCTCAAAAAGGCTACCTTTTGCGACGGTAAAATTTGCCGACTCAAAAAACCGACTCAAAAGGCCCTTTCTTTAGTAGTGTTTATTTTCCCTTCAAGGGTAATTAACTGTGGCCAAAATAACATATCAACTTGAATTAATGTTAAACCAAAAATTGCAGTGTTTTCACCATTTTCATTACCATATATAATACAGCATTTCTAATCAAGCAGAAAAGCTGGTTGAGTAGGCTTCCCAGGCTTCTACTTTTTGAGATTGCTCAAACATGAAATATACAGACAAAAACCAATCACAAACCAACCATTGAGATTCACATAGATGCAAAACCCATTTTGTGCAAGTGGTGGCGGTAGTTTGGTGGTGTGGTTATTTGTTGGTCTTATAGCAATGCTTCACAGTATTCATGTTGTGACACATGTCCCGTTATCTTCCAAAAACCAACATCAAAATATTTTGATCCTACTATTTAAACCAATAAAAATTAACTTGTGCCACAACATGTACTCGGTGATTTATTTTTAAACCATAGCATTTCCGTTCATTTATGTTAGACGCATCTGTATCAATACATCAAATGCACATGGGAATGACAACAGACCAAGGCTGGGCAAGGTGTGCGGTGTCCCATCCTTGTCCCATTCTTTATCGGGGAGGAGATGGAGTGGGGAAAATAGAGGAGGTGGTGGGAGAGGGTGTTGCTCCAAGCCCATGCATGCATGTAGAAGAGCCATGCAAAGATGGCGTATAAGGACCTCCACCTCAAGTGAAAGTTTGAGCTGGGCATCTGCAAGGTTCTCCATTCTCTTCTCTTTCTACTATTGCCTTTGTTGATTCTCACCATTAATCATTAAAGAAGGTAGAAATTTTTGGTGAGTTAGTATCTCTCTTTCTTTGTGTATAAATAGAGTTGGGAGGGAGAGGATGAATTGTATCAGAAGATTAAGAGAGAGCTGTGAGTTGAGCGAGAGTTTTATCTCAACCTCTATTTTTGTATTTTGCTCAAGTTTAGTGAAATTCTCTTTTCTGCTCCATAGACGTAAGCATTGAGCCGAACCACGTAAATATTGTGTTATCTGTGTGTGTGAGATAATTTTCTGGGTGTGTTTGATCTAAACGGAGTGAAGGTGCCAAGATAATATACTACACTTATAAAAGGGACAGTACTAATAAGAGAGATGATATAGCATATGAGAAACAAAGATTAACGAGAAAATAATAGTTAGAATTATTAAAAATGAGAGAGAGAAATTAAAAAATGATATATACATATATGATATTTTAGTATTGTACTTTAATTATATTTAACAAATTAAATTATATATTTTTATATACATTTAAAAAGTTTTTTAACTTAGGAAAATGCATAAGACCCTTTGATGGGGTTTGCTGTGATTGGTCAAAAAATTATTATTTTTTTTTTTTTCATTGGCAGCCCCCACATGGAGGTGGGGAGTGCTGGGGGTCCTTCTGTACTGGGGTCTCCAACATCTCTCTTTAACTTAATATATCTTTATATACATATAAAAAGTATTTAATTAATATAATCATAACATAACGAGAAAAACAAGGCAAGGAAATAAATCTCATTCCCTCTACATGTTTTCTTATCGAGGTGGGAAAAACCCGCATGAGACGGGTGGAGGATACAAGGTGAAGACAGGCGTAATAAATTACCATCCCTATATGTATGGGAATTTTGTGTAACTAAATTTCAAACACTGGAGCAGCAATACACAAGTAGTGACAGAATCATATATGTGGTGGTGAACAACATTGTGGACATGATGTGTGCTCTAAAAACAACAAAATTCAATTTGTAATGTTTGCACGTGAAATCAATCCTTTTTTACCTCTTCACCCTTGAGCAAAATGATTTGACATAACAACTACACACAATTTGGAAGAACTCATAACAGCGATGATTAGAGTATGTAGTGTTGTGTTGACACCAGAATACAAACATAAAACTTATTGAATGCAAACAACAAGAACAAGTAAGAGGCATAAGACAAACCAGAGCTATATATCACTGCTTCAAACTAGGGCTAAATGCACCTATAGAACAACTGGAAATTCAAAGTAGGTAGCAATCATTAGAAAAGTTAATGAAGTTTTTGTGTCACGGGGGGTGTTAATGCCATTAAGACATTTGTTATTGTCACGCTATTTACTCTAATAATGTATTTTTTTGTTTGTTATTCTGTTTGCTTTGTTTCGACCAATTGAATTGTGTTATTATCAATAATACCATTTCAGCTAGGGTTTAGGGTTTAGCTAACACCTAGGTAGAGTTGCTTTAGCTAGTCTCGACAAATTGGATTGTGTCATTATCAACAATACCATTTCAACTAGGGTTTTTGAACCGGATAAAATCTCATATGGAGGAGAGGACAAAACCAACCTAGCCAATGACCTAACAATCGCAAAAGGAGGAACAAAATGATACATTAGAAACAAACTACGCATTGTTTTCTATGCTTTGCAATAATAGAAGTGAAGACAGACAATTAACTAAAGCCCATGGAGCCGAAAACTATTTTGTCAAGCAAAAACCTTCCCACTGATTGGTTAAAACAATAAGGTGGTACCATTTAAAACCAATCAATGGGGAGTGTATCATTCATCCACGTATCAGGTGGGTGAACAAATCCAGTTAGGGCATTGAGAACCAAGTAGAGCCTATGATGCTCAAGCTCCATCCTTTGTCTTTTCAGACAAATTTGTGGGTCAATGCTTTTACATATATGTCCGTGATTGAAGTTTTCGGTGAAAAAGGCTAAAAAAAATAGAGAGAGAGAGAGAGGCAAATGCATATTACATTTCAACCTTATGCTCTAGGTGCTATTATAGAAAACATGCCATGAAAAATATTCTAATGCATTTATTATTGAAGTACCTTTTTATGTGTATGAAATAATTCTTCAACTTCATGCAACTTAATGTTATTTTGAGAGAGAGAGAGAGTTTATTCAACTTGGTCTTTAAGAGGAGTTACTAGCTTGAGGAAGAGAGGACTTGAGCTTTTCATCAAGCTTGCGTGGATTGAAATCCTTTATACTTGAGAGAGACAGAGAGAGAGACAGAGAGAGATGGAGCTTACTCAACATGGTCTCTTAGAGGACTTACTAGCTCCAACAAGAGACAGTTGGACTTCTTTTCCTCCTGGCGTGAATGACTACCTCTCTAATGGGTGGACCATTGAGTCTTTCAATCAGAGCCAAATTTTCTCTACACCAAATTCTCCATTTTTAGGATTCCACTCACCATTAGAGCCCAACTTTCCCTGTCCTCTCAATGGACTCTACCCTTTTGTTGGTGGCTTTTCAGTACCAGAGATCGGTTCATCCTATGACAAGAATGGCACACTTCCATTTCCAATTCAAGAACACTACCCATCAATGGAGGATGGAGAATATGGCCTTGTCGGCAATGATCTCCACAGTTTGGAAGAAAGAATGAATAGCTGCAAAGTTGAGATTGAACCAACTACAAATATCCCGGTATTCAACGAGGGTGTTTGTGGAGAGAAAAAGAGTAGAGTTAGGAAGGTTGAGGGGCAGCCCTCAAAGAATCTTATGGCAGAAAGAAGGCGAAGGAAGCGACTAAATGACCGCCTTTTGATGCTCAGATCAATTGTCCCTAAGATAAGCAAGGTGATGTGTGACTCTTATTTGCTAAAATTTATTTCATCTTATTCTTATTTGTTTTCACACATCACAACTACAAAGATTGGCATTTCAGTTATATTGGTTTCACATTCATTATAGATCACTAGTATGCTTTGTGTACTTCATAGTTCACACAAAAATATTTTGATTCATTACATTCTTTTTGTGTTTAACTAATAGAGGAATGCATGAATATGCAGATGGACAGGACATCTATACTTGGAGATACCATAGACTATATGAAAGAGCTCTTGGAAAAGGTAAAAAACTTGCGAAAAGAAGATAGAGGAGCCGATATGAATCAAGTGAATTTAATGGGCAACTACAAGGAGCTGAAGCCAAATGAACCACTAGTGATGAATTCCACCAAGGTATGACGTCTAAACTATATACATTAAAACCAATTAAGACACCTTAATCAAGCTATACCCACATACCCAGTTCCTAAAATCGAATTTTCTGCCACAATTTTGTTTAGTTCGATGTAGTAAGGACAAACATAGATACCCGCATTGAGGTTTGCAGTGCAGCTAAGCCAGGACTATTGTTATCAACAATTAATACACTAGAAGCACTTGGCCTTGACATTCAACAATGCGTCATAAGCTGTTTTAATGATTTTTCGATGCAAGCTTCTTGTTCAGAGGTATATATATATGTTTGATCAAAATCATTTTACAATGACATTCAGCAAGCTTGCTTTATATGATCATATTATGCTCCTATTATTCTCTTAATGGTGACAGGGTATGGAGCAGCGAACAATGATGAGCACTGAAGACATTATAAAGCAAGCATTATATAGAAATGCAGGTTATGGAGGGAGATGTCTGTAGGAGGATTTGAAATAGATCTATGCCATTTTTTTGAAAGCCTAAGTAGATGTATTCTATATCTGCTCGTCAGTTATTTGTTGAGTGAGAGGTTGAAATAATGTTGTCTTTTATGTGTTGCTTATCCAATATGTCTATGATCCATCCCACAGCTTAAAATGTTTTATCTGCTTCTGTTTGGGGTATTCATCAATACAAGGGTCAATTATTGTTCTCCATACAAACTTAGTCAACATATAGATAATGATATCAAGAGAATTTACTTATAAGTTTATGTGGCAGATAACGTTTCTGCCTTCATAACAGCAAACCGCTACTTGGATGACGTTTCTTACTCATAAACGCAATTCTGCACTCCCAAGTGCTCCTATTAAGGAATAAACTTACTAGCTCCAAAATGAGCAACCATTATGTATTATGTAATCTTTATCATTATTATAGGCAGCTAGGAGGGACCAAATTAGCAATAATGATGGTAAAACAAATAAGAACCCCAACAACACTTACAAATTAGCCAAGAATAAAATTGCCATAAGCAGGAATTGCTACGGCTACATATTCACAGAATCATGATTGCAAAACAATAGGTTGCTACACTGCAAAGCTTGCAGATCACCAGTTACAGATACGGCTTCAACAAAAAAAATAAAAAGCATTATCTCAACAGATACTAATACAAGTCAATGAATGGAAAAAGGAATTTTTAAGGTTCCTTTTCACCTTCATCGTCATCCCCATCAACGCAATCATCATCAAAATCTGAAAAATTACTTGTAGCATTAGACTTTAATGTTTGGAATTGATTGATAACATCTTTTGCATCAAAAGCCAAAGCATTTTTTGCAGCTTTAATAACATCCACTTTCTGGATATAGCTCTCCTTTCTATCATCTTTCCCTGGAATGGATTTGAGTACTGCCCGTGCTGATGCTGCCTTTCTCTTAGCTTCCCTGCAATGTAACTGATCGATATATTTCTCATGTAAAGCCTTATTTTTAACCTCCTTTAGGACTGGGGGGCTCGCAAGAGTTGCTCCATACGAGCTACTTGTTGTGGTATATCTCCTTATTAGATTTTGAAATCCAATTAATTTGTTAAAGAATTTTAATTTGATTTGGTTTAAATATAATATATTTTAATATATTATATCTAATTTTTAGAGATCTAATTTAATTTGGTAACAATTAGGATTTGATTTCAAAACACAAGATTCAATATATATATATATATATATATTGTTTTGTGTGTTCCAAAGCCGAAGCACTGCCTTAATATTGATATTGATTGAATCAATTCAGTGGAGTCAAACTTGGGTGAGTGAGAAGTGTTACTTTTCTGCTCCGGTGTGTGGAAGTTTGTTGCTTCGGTTTTTGATCTTGTGAAACATTATACGTGTGCATTTTGATTGCTTTGGTGAAGTTGATTTGGTTCGTTATTTTGGGTCTTTTTTAATTTTGATTCTGAAGATTTTGGTTCATCTATTTGGTGATCTTATTATTTGGAATTCACCTAAGGATGGTTTTGTGAGACCATTGGTGTCTTGTTTGTAATCGTTTGGAACTTCTTTGGTTGATAGTGGAATCGGATTTCGATCCCGTGGACGTACCTCACATTGAGGGAACCACGCAAAAATTCTTGTGTTATTTTTTATTTAATTTTTCCGCATTAGTTTTTATTCTCATTGATTGATTTACTTGTGGGGAATCACATATTTTTCCTAACAACTGGTATCAGAGCTTACAGTTTATTTGGGTTTAATTATTTGTATAAATCAATGGAGGGGAATGTGGGTCGTATGTCTAGCTTCAATGGAAGCAATTGGGTAATAGTGGCAAACTCGAGGGTATGAAAGATGCTGAATGGAAAAGGCTTAATCGAAAAGCCATTGGTGTTATCTGTCAATAGATTGATGACAGTGTGTTTCATCATGTTGCTACTGAAACTTCGGCACATGATTTATAGAAAAAATTAGAGTCTTTATGATAGAAAATCAGCCACAAATAAAGCATTTTTGTTTCGTAAGTTAGTTAATTTAAAATATAAAAAGGGCAACCCTATTCCGGAACATCTAAATGAAATAAAGAGTATTGTTAACCAACTTGCTTCTATGAAAATTGTTTTTGATGATGAGTTGCAGGTTTTGATGCTATTTAGTTCTTTGCCCGAAAGTTGGGAGACTTTGGTTGTGACCGTTAGTAATTCGGCGCCCGATGGAGTTGTCACAATGGGCCAAGTCACTAGTAGCCTGTTGAATGAAGAAACTAGAAGAAAATCAGCAGGTTCCTCTCATTCAGAAGCATTCGTTGTGAGAGGCCGAAGCGAACAAGGGGGAGGAGTAAGACTCCGCATGGTCGTGATCAAAGCCGTGACAAATCAAAAGATGGTTCTTTTTCAAAGAAAGACATTGAGTGCTATTATTGCCATAAGAAAGGGCACATGAAGCGAGAATGCAGAAAGATCAAAAACAAGGAGAAAAGACGTGACAAAAGTGTGGATAAGAAACAAGAAGACACAACGGCAGTTACTACCGATGATCTTATGGTCGTTTGTAAAGATGATTGTATCAATTTTGTGGGCCAATAGAGCAATTGGGTGATTGATACCGGTGTTTCTTTTCATGTGACTTCTCGAGTTGATTTCTTCACTACCTACACCAAAGGAGATTATGGTTCTGTTCGAATGGGTAATGAAGGTTTGTCCAAGATTATTAGCATAGGTGATGTTTGCTTGGAAACAAATTTGGGCTGCAAGTTATTGCTTAAAGATGTGAGGCATGTTCCCGACATTCGCCTCAATTTGATCTCTACTGGGAAGCTAGATGATGAAGGCTTCAACAACAAATTTGGTGATGGAATATGGAAGCTCACAAAGGGTTCTTTGGTGGTGGCTAAGTGCAAGAAGACTCATACACTTTATTCGATGTAAGAAAAAATTTGTAAAGGTGTTGTCAATGCACTTGAAGATGATACTTCTACCGAATTGTGGCACAAGCGGCTTGGCCACATGAGTGAAAAGGGACTGCAAGTATTGTTCAAGAAAGAACTTCTACCCGGTTTGAAAGGTACACATATTAAAACTTGTGTTCATTATTTGGCGGGTAAACAATATAGAGTTTCTTTTCAGAAAAATGTTTCTTCTAAAAAGGAAAATGTTTTGGAGTTGATTCATTCGAATGTTTGTGGTCCTTTAAAAGTTAGAACACATAGTGGTGCACTTTATTTTTTTACTTTCATTGATGATTATTCAATGAAAGTTTGGGCTTTTCTACTAAAAACTAAAGATCAAGTTCTAGAAGTATTTAAGCATTTTCAGGCCATGGTTGAAAGAGAAAAGGCCAGAAATTGAAGTGCATCCAATCAGACAATGGTGGTGAATACATTAGGCCATTTGATGAGTATTGTCACAGCCAAGGTATTCGGCACCAAAAGACAGTTAAGAAGACTCCTCAACAAAATGGAGTTGCCAAGAGGATGAACCGCACCATTGTGGAAAGAACAAAGTGTTTGCTTTCATGAGCTAAATTGCCAAGATCTTTTTGGGGTGAGACATTGAAGACAGCGGTTGACGTGATCAATTTGTCTCCTTCCTATCCTCCTTCTTATCTTTGAATGGTGATGTTTCAGAAAGAGTTTGACCGGTAAAGATGTGTCTTATGAGCACTTGAGAGTGTTTGTTGCCGAGCTTTTGTTCACATTCCAAAAGATGAGAGGTCCAAGCTTGATAGTAAGTCAAGACAATGTATTTTTCTTGGCTATGGACGTGGATGAATTCGGATATAGATTGTGGGATTTAGTCGACAAGAAAGTCATTCGAAGTCGTGATGTTGTGTTTCTTGAAGACCAAACAATTGAAGACTTTGGCAAAGGTGATCAACCGAAGCCAAAAAGTAGTGATCTCATTGACATGGATCCATCTCCTTCATCTTCAGTTGATGATGAAAATAGGGAGATGTGCAGCACCCATTGAAGATGTAGATGATGATGCTAATCCTAATGAAGTTGAGCCAGAAATTGAAGGAAGACATCCACTCAAAGAACCGCCACCACAACTTGAGTTGAGGAAATCTATAAGGAACCGACAACCTTCAAGAAAGTATCCTCCAATGAATTTGTGTTGATTTCCGATCAAGGGGAGCCTGAGAGCTACCAAGAAACAATTGAGCATGCAAAGAAAGGTGATTGGAAAAAGGCCATGAAAAAGGAGATGAATTCCTTACTTGAAAATCACACCTATGATTTAGTGAAGTTGCCTAAGGGGAGGAAAATTCTGAAAAAATAAGTGGATTTTCAAATTGAAGAATGATAGAAAGAATCTGAGGTACAAAGCATGTCTTGTTGTGAAAGGCTTTGGGCAAAAGAAAGTATTGATTTTGATAAAATTTTCTCGGCCAGTTGTAAAGATGTCTTCTATTCGGGTTGTACTTGGCATGGCTACAAGTATGAACCTTGAAGTTGAGCAACTTGATGTGAAAACTGCATTTTTTTTATGGTGATCTTGAAAGAGGAATTTACATGGAGCAACTAGAGGTTTTGTAAAGAAAGGGAAAGAGAAATTTGTTTGCAAATTAAAGAAAAATTTGTATGGCCTCAAGCAAGCCCCGCGGCAATGGTACAAAAAAATTTGACTCTTTTATGATGAAAATGGTTTTTCTAAAACCACTTCGGACCATTGTGTGTTTGTGAAAAATTTCCGAATGGTAAATTTATTATTCTTTTGTTTTATGTTATTGATGACATATTAATTGTGGGCCAAGATTCTACCATGATTAAAAGGTTGAAATTGGAGTTGAGGCAGTCTTTTGCTATGAAAAGATTTGGGACCGGCAAAGCAAATATCTTGGTATGAAAATTGTTCGTGATCGCAAAAAGGGGCTGATTTGGTTGTCTCAAGAAAAACTACATTAAGAAAGTTCTTGAGAGGTTCAACATGAATAAAGCAAAGCCTGTTGGTTGTCCTTGCAGGTCACTTCAAGCTTAGT